TTCCTGCTGCTGGACTTCCATGCAAACTCTTTCGAACCTCTGCTTTTTCTTATACCGTTCTGTATGAAGTATCCTTTCTTAATTTTCTACCTGATGAGTTCCTACTCAGACTTCAAGGCCCAAACATAACATCATTTCCTCTGTGATATCTTCCTCTTTCCTACCATTCTCAGGCAGAATTCACTGTTACAGCTTTTTTTTTTCTTTAAGTTTACTTATTTCACTCCTGAGTGAGAAAGACACAGAAAGAGAGAGAGAAAAACAGCACTTCTAACAGGGTCTTGACACTGCAATCTATCCCAGCCTCAGCCAGCTCCAGATCACGGGCGAGCATGTGCCTGGTGTACTCAGGGAGGTCTTTGGAATTGAACCAGGAACTTTCCTGTGGGATTGCCTCAGAGTGTCAGGCTTTCTTACTGTGCCATCATCTGGCCCCTGTTTGCTCAACAAAATGAGCTCTGATCTCATTTGTACTTTCATTAGTTTAGCAGAACAACAGACATTTGCTAAGCACACATCAGAAAACATCTAAGACCTGGGATTTAAAAAGGAAAATAGCACAGTCCTTTTCCTCCATAAAATCACATTCTAGCTGGGAAGACATACATGCAAGTGAGTAAAATACAATGCCCTGTCCGGTGCTCAGGGAGAGCTCTAAAGTGCTGTGGGGACAGAAGAAGGGTCATCCTCTCTTACAGGGGTGGGTGGGAGAGCAGGCAGAAAGTAAGGGGAACCCTGGATTAGGGAAGATTTTATCTACCCAACTGAGATTTCAGTTAATTCATGAATGTGTAGATGACGCTTGACCAGTTGGGAGGCCATGAAAAATATTTCAATGGAAAGAAACAGAGTTTAGAATTTGCTTTACACATAAAATTCAACTATCAAATGAGGTCTCATGTGGCCCTTCTCTACAAACTCACATTTCAAAAGCATATTAAGCTGCCAAATAATAGTTAAATAAGAATTCCAATTTGTTTGTGCATGTCTTAAAGAACATTAAAAAGGCTGTAATTTGTAAACATTGGCAGCATCTCTCAAAATCTCCATTATACAGTCCCCTTTAGAGGACTTGCCATGGAACATCTCTCCAACAAAGCCGACAACCCTTTTCCTCTCCAGTCCCTCCTATTTAAATTCTCTCATCTTTCCTCATCTGTGAACCTTTATCTTCTCTCTCTGAACCTAGTCTCCCAATTCTCTATTGTGAAAATATATCAACTGGGCAGGTAAAATTTTTGTTTCATGTGCTGAGGACAGAGAAGTTCTAGTGGAAGATGGAGAGCCTTCACATATTAATAAACCTTTTCCCCATCAATAAGTAGTAGACAAGATAGAACAGACTATAAGCTGTAAGAGTTCATTTCTGGAATCCAGGAGCAAACATTGTTCCAGTGAGCTGGTCCCTGCTGCTGAATTTCAGGAAATTCATGTCACTTGGGTTTGGCTGTATCTCAGTAACTGCCTTAAGAACTTTCCAGAAATTATATCTCTAACTCTAAACACTTGATGTTAAATTGCCAGAATATGAATAAAGGTGCGATTAAGTTGAGTTTCATCTTAAAATACTAAAAACAGAACACATGTGCAAAAAAAGACATTTTGGAATGAATATCAAAGACACTTGGAGTTTCTGGTTTTATTAATTTCAGAAAGTAAAACTTCAGAGAGCAGAAGGAGACAGAATCATTAAAAATGCTGCTGTCAGCCTGCAGAAATACCAGGGCCATCCCAGAGTCCTGCAGAGTGGGGCAGAGACAAATGTCTCTGGCTAGTCTAGGCAGAGAAGGCAAAGCCCACCCTGTTGTTGGCCATGTCATAGACAGAGTAATATTCCTTGAGGAAGACATCTCCCAGAATCCACAGGGGCTGCCCGTTGGGAGAGGGTAGATAAGTGGCTTCAATCCCAAGCCTGCAGTAGCCATTGTTCTGAAAAGACAGAGGACATGAAGACAACCAGTTGTACTCCAGACACACCTTCTTCCACCGGAACCCCCCAACCCTGTATTCCTTGGCACCTGCAGAGACTCTGAATTCTTGTTCGGACTCAGCCCTGGGGATTCCCCATATCTGTCCAGAGGTGAACTGAGACATGGGACACCTGTTTGGGCTCCCCTGACACATTACCCCAGAAGCCTGAAAGTGAATACGTACGTTGAAGACATAGGCAGAAGGAGGCAGAGGGAACTGGGACCCGCTAATGATGAAGGTGATGGTGGGCATGCTCTGTACGTAGTTGCAGTCGACCACAAACTGAGAGAAGGAAGAGGCAAAGTTGAGCAGTTCCAGGGCATGGATAACACAGACAAAGGGCTCAGGCCCCCTTTTTCCTCTGTGAGTATGCTAGGAGACCTTCGAGCAGTCTGTTTCAGAGCATGGAAGGCCTAGCCTGATCCCTGGCAAGGGATCAGATCTTTTTTTCTTGAGTTCTCTCCTAAAACACACCTTAGTTCTTGGATTTGGGTTATATCAATACAACCACATAGAAAGACACTTATTTGGGGTCAGCAGGTGGCATGGTGGTTAAGGTGCTAGATTCCCACATGGTTGACTGTGGTTCAAGTGCTGGACCTGGTGGCTTGCTCTCTCACTCTTTCTCTGTCTCTTTCTACTAAGCACATGTACTCTATAGCAAATTTAAAATAATGATTATTATTTAATTGAATAACACAATAATGATTTAATAATTATTATTTAGTTAGTAAGCAAAAATAAATCATTTTTTTAAAAAGACATTTATTCTAGAACATAGTCTACACCTTTAGAACATGAAAATTACAGAGAAAATGTATAGGCACATATTGTAGAAGCATGCTCTCATGCACACTCATATCCACATTTGTGTCCACACATTCACGCATTCACCACAGTATGTACATATATGCTCACACACATACAGAGACATATACATATACATACCTGACTTGAAGAACCAACATTTAGTCTGGACACAGATTTTAGCATTCAGGGAAAAGCAAACTACAGATATGAGTACAAAGAAGAAGCAAGTATAAGGACAGAAGACTACTCAGCGTAAAACTCAAAGGTGTGTTCTCAGGGAAGAAAGAAGCCAAAGGAAATGAAAAAATTGTTTTTATCCCACTGTCCCTAATACTTCAGAGCAAATGACAGTGATTGGGAAATGCTCCCAGGTTCCACAATGGATTAGCGGCACCTCCTGACAACCAATCATCTCATATTCATGATCCATCTGGATGGAGTCGATATTACTTTCTCCTCTTACCCTTCCTTTCACCAAAGATTCAAGCCAGAAATGTTGTACTGTGTCCCCACCCACTGTTTACTGCCAGGAGCTCAGGTCACCACCCGACCTCTCCTTCTCTCTCTTGTGATCTCATTACAGTTGAGTTGCCAGGATGTGCAGAAAAGCTTTTGGCTTCTGGTTACTTACATCACCATTCTGCGCCTGCTGGGCTCCTGTTGCCTGCAGGAAAGAGCCCATGAACTGCTGGGGAATAGCCAATAGGAAGGTCCCGGTGTCCACGATAGCCTGGCAGCCCTGGGAGCACAAGCCAGTGGATTTGGTTTCAATAATGAATGCACGATAGCCTGCCCGCCCGGGGAGCAAAAGCCAGTGGCTTGGTTTCCAATAATGAATCTGAGGGGGACACCAAGACAAAAAGAATCAAATGCTTCTGCTGCAAACATGAGCCATGTCCATCCCTTATCCCCACAAGCCTCTTCCAGGAAGCCAGGCCATCCCTATTATACATCTGCCCCTGTAACATTTCTGGGCATTTGTGATTATTGGAGTAATGTCCTCAGTCTTAGTCTGGTGTCCTCCCTTCCAGCTCTGACTGAAAGCTTTTGAGAAGACGGAAGTTGTGTCTTGTCTTCTTTAGTTTATTCATATAGGGTCCAGCACACAGTGCCTACCACGGTCAGGGCTTATAATCAATAAATAGATGCATTTTGAGCGCCTACTATGTGTAGAACACTTTTTAAGGATTATGACTTTACAAGAAGGAAGTAATTTGAATTTTCTCTTTTTAAGGTGTTTATCTCAATTGAGAAGAAATAATGCAATCTATTAAGCCATGACTAATACTATAAGACAGTAGCTGATAATATAATACGTAAAGTCTTACATGATTCAGGCCCCGATTTCTTACACTCTACTTTCTTCTGCCTTCCTCTCATATATTTTTGGGGGGCTGTCTATGAGTCAGGTATCATACAAGGCACTCAGCAGTACAGTAGTGAATAAGACAGCACCACTATCTAGTGGAGGGGTCAGACACTTAACAAAGACAAACAAATCATGTTTAATTGCAGCCCTGACAATGCCATGAGGGAAATGCAATGTGCCAGAGAAGAGGGAACTTGATCTAGTCTGGGGGTGGAGGGTGGAGGGGTCTATCAGACAAGGATTCATATGAAGAAGTGATGCTTAAAGGATGAGCAGAGGGGCCAGCAGCTGGCATGATGGTTGAGGCACTAGACTCCCACATGGCTGACAGTGGTTTGAGTCCCAGACCTAGAGGCTTACTTTCTCACTTTCCCTCTTTCTCTCTCTGGTGAACACTCATGCCCTGTAGCACATCTAAAAAAAATCATTATTAGTATAAATAAAATTAAACAAAAAAATTTTTTAAAAAAAGGATGAGCAGAATTGGACCATGTGAGGAAAAACACCTTCATTCCAAGCACATTAAACTAGTCTCAACATGCTGAGTGTTTACCTCTTCCTCTACTCTTGTATGTTGAGCTGTCTCCCCAGTGCCTTTCTTAATGACTAGGACATATTGACAAGAGCACAGGGAAGTCTTTTGGGACCAAAAGAGAGATCACTATGCATAAAGCCCATAAGAGGACATTTTGGAAGAGAGAAGAATTAATCTGGCCTTTGAAGCATGCCTAAACTTCAAGTAAGCACTCCAGGCACTATGAACAAAAGAGAGAAGCAAGAAAGAGGTGGCTAGGCACAAGGGCTTGGTGAAGGCTGTCTTGTACTGAGAAGTACTCAGAAGGCTGTCATTGATAGAGGGCCGGGGAGGCTGTCTTTTACAGTCTTATATTACAGGCCAATAATGTTTTATCTTTAATTTCCATGAGACTGAGAATTTTAGAGGACTTTTGAGTGTAGAAGTCATTGGTTCATATTTGGAATCAGGCACACCGATGCTAAAATTTTTGCCTTACAAAATGTGTGAATTTGGGTAAGTTACTTAACTGCTGAGCCTTGATTTTTCTATAGAATAAAATATATTGCTGATCTACTTATGTGTTTGTGGAAATTGTATGTAATAATATATTTAAAGTACTTAAAAAAGTATCTGGCACATATTAAACATCAAGGACAGCTATTACTTTTGCTAATGATGAAAGTGGTAAAACTTCCAAGAACAAGGACATGGATTCCCAGTTCCTAAGAGTGTTCAAGGTACTGGTATTCCAAGGTGCAGGTACCAGTTCAAAAAGTTTAAACAATAGCTAAATGCCAAAGTCTACTGGGCTCTAGAACCACCTTAGCCTAGGGATTTGGTGATTTTTTTTTTTTTTAAGAGAGATTTTTGAAAAAAAAAAAAAAAAAGAGAGAGATTTTTGCTATAGGGCATGTGTGCTCACCAGCGAGACAAAAAGAGAGAAATCACCCCACAGGGGCATGGCCACACCACAGTCCCTTCTCCTCCATTCCCCTCTTGGGATTTTGTGAATACATGCACACATGCCCAATATGAATTTTAAGCCACCGGGTCCAGGACTCAAACCGCAGTTGACTATGCGGGACTCCAGTGACATAAATGCTACACCATCTGCTGGTCCCATGGAATTTGGTGATTCTTAAGAAATTTGTACCACATAAAGGAAAATGTCATGCCAGAATGTCCATAATCCATAGGAACTATCCTCTCCACTTACTCCTGGATGGCAATCTGCCAGTACAGTTCCCGAGTGACAGGGGTCCAAACGATCTGACCAGAATAAAGCTGGGTGTCCACACCTCCCAGGATAAGCTCTCCACCATACTGACGGGTTGGTTGGCTGCAGAGAAATATAGAAAAGCATGAGTTCCCATGACACAAATTGACCAGGCAGTTTTCTCTTTCCTTTCTCCTTCCCTCACTCCTTCCAACACAGAGGTACCACAGAATGAGGGATGCAGTCTTCTGAGCTGCTCTTCAAACTCCATCTGGCTGAAGACCAGGGAACGGGTAATGCCCTCAGAGTAACACCCAAAGTAATAGAGATTATGTCCATCGATAAGAGGACAGAATTGGAAACAAGCACCTGAAAACAAACTATGAAAGAATCCCAGAGAAACTCTTCCTGGGAGGAAGTAAGAATGAGAAGAAACACCTCTGGGAGTACCTAGGCAGGACCTGACACTGCTCTCAACTATGCTATGATGGGAATGCTTCAGTCTTGGTCAAGTGGGTAACTAGACAATGTTACAAAGGTTTTACACTTGTGCTCACCACCTCGGCCTGTCCATCATAGAAAAAAGACATCTGGACTTTAGGCACCATGAGAATCATGTTGTTTAGGAAAGAAGGAACAGGGGTAAAGTTTGCCACAGAAGTTCCAGACCAGATGGAGTAAGAATTCGTGATTAAAGTATTTACATTTGAGGCTTGGTTTCATACTTACCAGGGAGTGACCTCAATCAATATTGATAACCTATCCAGCCTCCATTTCCTCACAGGGAAAATGGGGTTAATAACAGGATTTCTGAGGTGTTACCTGAAGTAATTATGTGAGAACACATTATAAAGGCCAGATAGTTATTATAATTATCATTTCATTGTTGTCAGTCTTTATTAGTAAATGCTCACATGGCTTGTTCTAAAGCTCTACAGTTGTGCAAATAAAGCAATCTCCAGTTTCCTAAGTAAATACTGAGATACTTTACTGTTGCTTATTTTTAAGAAAAGAGTGATCCTATGGTTTATGGCTAATATAATCTAAAACTCTTAAAGTACATTTAAAATAAAATTCCCCCAAAATATAATTATAACTTTTCAGAAAACCATGGATTTCATATAGCCAGTTATACTCAGTATGTCAGAAAACTTTCTCACCTGGGCCCTGTCTGATCCTGGGTTGTCTACAGCTCTCATGGAACCTCGTTTCCTGAGTCCTTCCCAGGACAAGTGTTCTTACCGAGAGAAGTAGAAGCTAAAGATGGGTTGAGTGAGCTGGCCTTGCTGCAGCATTCCCTGCATGACTGTTGGGGCATTCCCGACTGCCATGTCTGGGTAGGCCATTCCCAGGATCCCGTCAAAGTCTGAATAGTAGAAGGGGTTGCTGGGCTCATTCTCACTCAGACCAAACTCCTGGTTATTGATGACAATGTTCTGAACCTGGGGTGAACAGAGAGTAGAGCTTGGCAATTCAGGTAAACAGAGCCTTCCCAGACATAGGGGCCCAGAGTCCTGGAATCTAGAATCTGTCCTGGAGAGAGGAAGTTGGCTTCTTTCATGCAGAGCTTGGCCGTACGTGTGGGCACAGAATGTGGAAGGGAAGCAGTGTCACTCAACCCAGTGTGTGTCTTTAAAAAAGGAAAATAGGTATTGTGGAAGTGAAGGTGCTTGTTTTCTAGAGTTATAGTTTACACTTCCAGGGATAGTTGGAAGGACAGTGACTGGTTTTTTTACTGAACAATCCATGTAGACAAATGAATAGAGGAACTAATGAGAGTTTGACCTAAAGAAATAAGAAAATGGTGAAAGGACGAGTCTTTAAATATCCAAAATGTAATAGTGTGGAAGAGGCAGTAGATTAATTCTTGTGGCTCCAAAAGGCAGAGTTGAGACTACCAAACAAAGACACAAAAAGACACAGAAACTCTAGCACAACATAAACAACTTTCCATGATCAGGACTACAGTGGAAGCAATTCCTGTTGAATTAGATGGCTTTGACATCTCTTCCAAGTTTCAGCTTCTGGTGTACCCAGTTGGTAATTACAGACTTAGTAAGTGTGGATTTAGTAAGTACGGGCTTACTCTACAGATTACTAAATCCATACGTTGTCTAGAGTTTAAAACTCTAGTAAATGGGAGCCAACAGTACTCACAGTCACCGTGTCATATCCCAGGACCACACTCAGGCTGCCACTCCCATAAGATAGTGTATAGGTTTGCCCATTGTTTCTGAAGGTGGAGGACAGGCTGGGGTTGAACCTGTTGTGATTGGCTGTAGAAGGACAGGATGAAATATTAGTGTCATTCACTGCTTTCCAAAACACTTGGCAATAATTTATCCTCAGTGGCTTGGGATCCTCAAACCAAAACTGGGATAGGGTATCACCCTTAGAACTTTTGGATTATAAACAACCCACTTTAGCCCCAGAAAAGTCTATCCCATTGCACAACAGATAGTGCCCAAAATTCTTCCAACCCCCCATTCTCTGAGGATCCATTGCCTCAGAGGTGCTAGCAATCTTGGGCCACAGGAGAGAGCTGAGGAAAAGGAACAATATAGAAAGGAATAGAAGCCTTAGTCCATTCTGCTGTCTCTCTCTATAGAACAGTCATTACTTCTGAAATGTGGTACTAACATGCTTGCTACATTGAGAGCAAGATTTCAAGATGTTCCTAACATAAAGAAAATAAGATGTGAACATGCACAAATAACTTTGGACTTTAAATTATACACCTGCACTCAGAGCCTGACTCTGCCCTTCCTCTACCACCCATAGTGGGGAGGGAAAAAGAGGTGTACTCACAGCAGGCCTGACTCTGGCAGTAGGTAGAGGGCACCCACAGGTCGGAGGAACCTGTGTCAAAGAGCACCAGGAAATTCTGGGGTGGTGTTCCAATGCTGATCTCCCCAAAGTAGAAAGACTGCAAAAATAAAAACAAAAAACAAAAACCTTGTCCCCCTCATTAAGCAACTAAGCATTGTCCTTAGGATAGACAAGAACTTAATCCATAGGAAGCCACGCTTTACCCACATTATTCCCTTGGGAGGATGAAAAGCTTATCCCACAAGTTCTCCTTGCCATCCGGAGCCAGCTCTTGTCAAGATTCTACTTTTCCCCCCTACTTCGAGCAGCTGAGACTTAGTATATCAAGACACTATCCTCTTCCAAATGTGTTGTCCACTTGTACAATGTTGATACCTTTACAGATTTACCATGCTCTGTCAGGAAGGCCAGAGTAGGAGAAACCATCTCCCTCCCACCCCACCCCCCCCAGTTTCTAGCTTCTCTCTCTCTCACACACACACACAAACACACACACACTCATTCTCTCTCACACACACACTTTCACACACACACTCTCTCATATACACAGACACTCTCACACAAACTCACACATATACACACACTCCTTTCTCTTCTCTTCCAGTATTGGGCAGTTCTTTTTTTTTTTTTTTTTTTTTTGGGGGGGTTTTTTGTATAGGGCGCGTGCACTCGCCAGAATGACAGACAGAAAGTAAGAAATCACCCTCCAGGGGGGATGGCCATGCCACAATCCCTTCTCCTCCATTCTCCTCTCGGGATCTTGGGCACACATGCATATGTGCCTGGCGTGAGTTTAAGCCCTGGGTCTGGGACTCAAACTGCAGTCGACTACATGGGAGTTCAGTGGCATAGCCATTATGCTAACTTCTGGTCCTCAGTACTGGGCATTTCTATCACTATTCTCCTTCCTCCTGGTCATGCACCAGAAGAAGGTACAAGGAAGCCTGGGATAACAGGTGACTTAGAGGGGCCAGCAGGTGATGTGGTGGTTAAGGCTGGACTCCCACAAAGGCTGACTGCAGATCAGGATCTGGACCTTGCAGCTTGAAAATTATGCCAGGTATGCATGCATGCATGCCCAAAAATCATGGGAAGAAAATGGAGGAGATGGGATTGCGGGTGACCATCTTCCCAGAGGGGTGATTTCTCACTTTCCCTCACACTGTCTCTCTCTGGCAAGCACATGCACCCCATGGCAAAACCCAAAAATATAAATAAATAAATAAGTGGCTTAGAAGAGCATTTCACTGGGAGGTTGTCTACATTTCTAAATTATCTTAGGCCAGTCATGCCATTTCCCTGCCTCCAGTTCCTTTATCTACAAAATGTGGGAGTTAAAATCGAAGATTCCTGTAGTGACCTCTAGCTCTAATGTTCTATATAACATCCACTCAGGACAGTTGATAGGACACCAGAATGTTGAGATGCCCTGATCAAACATCACAGGCTGGAGGGCGTGCAAACATTTGCTCTGGGGACCAAGTGTGTCGTTCCTGGAGTGAAAGACAAACGCCTGCAGTGACTGGCGCTTTCGCCTGAGAGCCTTGCATGTAGTTCCCCTTTCCCTGCAATTTTGTACCAAGACTGTTTTTTGATCTCTCAATTGACTTGAATATTCCCACCATGACTCTCTTAACTATGTAAATGAAGCTCTAGGGAGATAGGCCAGTAATGAGCCAAAAGGAGGGAGGAAAGGGAATTACAGTCTCTTGGTGCCTGTGAGGAATTGGTTCCAGGACCCCAGTGGGTACCTCAAGTCCCTTATATAAAATGGGGCAATATTTATATATAACCTGGGTATACCATTCTGTACATGGTCCTGTTAAATCATCTCTGGGTTTCTTGTTATACCTAATACAATGTACAAGTTATATAAATCATTATTGTACTGTATTATTTAGAGAAGAATGACAAGAAAAATGTCTGTATATGTGCAGTACAGACTGAACCATTATTAGTTTAACAGCACAGAACACATTAGCAACAATGAAACATTTTTGATCCACAGTTTGTGGAACCTGCAGATGCAGAACCTATGGATATAGAAAGCCAACTATATTATTCTCATGATACCAACCCATAACTTATTCTGATACTTCCCATAACACAATAAGACTAGTCCAAAATTATAGTTGATGGGAAGTATAAATGAATATTCAAGAATGGATGTTATACAAAGATCTCTCCCATTCACTCACATCCATGTAGTTGGTGATAGGCTCGTAAGCAACGGCATCATTATTGAAATGGTACTTGGTAGCTGGATCGACCCTTGGATAGCTGTTTAGGAATGTCTCCAGGACACCCTGCTCTTCCATTGCCTGGCGAATAGACTTGCCTCTCCTCAGAATGATTCTACAGAGAATAAACAAAAGGAAGAAGTTTCATTGCAGCCTCATTAAACAATCCCTTCAATGATCTGACAGAGTTGTCACACCTCTTCAGTACCCTACTCAAGAAGAGACTCTTAGAGGAGATCCTTCTAGGTTCAGCAAGTTCTAACCACTCCAGTCACTCTGGCATTCCAACATGGAAGTACAGTACCCCATACTTATAAATTCTTTGTGTGCTTATATATTATTTTTAGAAAACTAAATGTCTGTTTCTTCCCAGTCCCTTCTGTTAGCTTGGGACCAGGATTGTGCATGCTTCTTAGCCAACCACACACCACACCTATCTTACACACACACATACCACCTCCACCATCCATTTCAAGCCTTCTTTCCTGGTGGTATTCAGTTCATGGTAGAGAGAGAAAACCTGGCTGACTCCCCAGAGGCCTGCAGAGTAAGGCCTTTGCCTTTCCCTAGCTTGTCATTCTGCCTGAGGACTGGAATTCACAGTGAAGCTGAATCCCAGTACACACCTTTCCACACCCTCTGAGAGGTGTAGACAAACCAAGATCAAGATCAGGATCTTCATGGTGCAGATTTTCAATAGCCCACCAACACACAGGATAAAATGGCAGGGTCAAGAATTAGAGCACACAGAGGAAATTTGGGTCTCTCTCTTATACCCTGATCACCCTGCCCTTCTGATCTCTACCTACGTGGGCTTCCTACCTTAGTACCAACTCGCGCCACTACACATCCATGAGTCTATTTGTTTTTCCTTCTGGCAAATATCAACTACTTTCATACCCACTGGATAGTAAATTTAAAAAGCAATTAATGGCTTTGCTGATGGAATCTAAAGATTAGGATTTGCTAACAAATGTAAAAATGCACTGAGGACAAAGGATCCTGGACAAGTCTACTGAGAAGTGGGTTCTGGTAACTTTTGCCAAATCAATAGAACAATTTGTTTTCTGGTTCCAAAGGACATGTGCCTTTTTGAGACTTACAGTCTAATCTCAAGTTCTTTCTCTCCTTCACCTCTCTTTTCCTCTCCCCAGTCTTCTCTATAGTCTTCCACATTTGATTCTCAAAGCCCATGACACTCTTTGCTTTTTATTCTCTAATGTTTTTAGTATACAAATTAGTCAGCTTTTATTGAACACCTACTCTGCTCATCTCTGTGCTAAGCTCTGGGAATGCAAAGATATAAATAAATGGTCCTTGTGTGCAAATGCCTGCATTCCTGTAGGAATGGCTGGAACATAGTTAAATTATGAAGCAACACAATCATTCTAGGCATTCAAATGTTTGTAGATGAACATGAACAAGATGGATAAAAACAGTGTTCACAAAGTAAAGGGAGAGAATGATAGGTCCTGAGGGGGTGGAAACAGCTTCAAAGTGGAAGGATAGATTTTACTAGATGAGGAAGTAAGCGAGGGAGAAAAGATATTGGAAGTGGGAGAAAAGCTTGAGCAATGGCACAAAGGAGTGAAGTCATGTGATGAATTCAGAAAATGTGATCAATGTAGCCAAAGAGCAATTCTCAGCACAGTCCTTTCCAGCCAGATACAGCCCAAAGACTTGCCCTGGATGGGCTCAATCCCATCACACTATTGTTACCCTTCTGTCCTCTGAAAAGTATTTGCTACTGAAGAAATCGAAAAGATTGTAATGCTATAATGGAAATACAATATTATATTAAAATAGTACATATTCAGCACCTTTGGAATTTAACTGTCTTCTGTCAAATGATTTTTTTATGAGCCTCATGACTGACTATATCACTCCAAGGCATCCTGGAGAGAAGTATTGGGCTACCATACTAGTAGTACTATTACTATAGGACTACAATATAGTAGTACATGGAGAGTACTATAGATAGTACTAGGCATCTATCTAGGTATGATTTATATGATTAGAATCTTAAAAGGCAGTAGTCCCCAACCTTTTTGGTACCAGGGACTGGTTCGTGGAAGGCAGTTTTCCCACAAGTCAGAGAGGGAGTGAGGGTTAGGAATGATTTTAGAATGATTTAAGTGCACTACATTTATGGTAAGCTTTATGTAATATATAATGAAGTAATTATATAACTCATCATAATGCAGTTTTTATGGCCACTTTCCAGGGCTAGCATTACCACATCAGCTCTACCTCAGATCATCTGGCATTAGATTCTCATAAGGAGTGCACACCCTCACATGTGCAGTTCATAATAGGGTTTCCAACTCCTATGAGAATCTAATGCCACCACTAATATGACAGGAGGCAGACCTCAGGCAGAAATACAAGCGATGGGGAGTGACTATAAATACAGATGAAGCTTGACTTGCTCATCTGCCACCCAACACCTGCTGTGCAGCCTGATTCCTAACAGGTCACAGACCAGTAGCCGCCTGTGGCCTCAGTCTGGGGACCTTTGTTATAAACCCTATGTATCATGTTAAGCAATATTAACATAATTCTGTACACAGTAAGATGACAAAGGTTTTTCTTTTCAGTCTAGTAAATGACACTTAATCACCTTCTACATAAAATGCACAGATAATCTTTTACATTTTAGCCTTTGAGAAGCATTGAATGAAGAGCCAGGCAGCCAAAATGATTCCTCAATTTAGTAAAGTTGTGGCTGGCAAAGCACTTTGTCATGAATCTACTCCAAAGCCATTCACAAACTAAAGAAGTTTCAACATCATGTTTGTAATTTATTGTTTCTTTACAAAAATAAGAAGGGAAACTTAAAAATCTACCAAGTATATGCTTATAATGACCATAACCTATCTTATTGAACACCAACATTGTTCTAGGCATATATTTTATTCAGTCATTGCAATATCTGTATAAAGCTATCTTAACTCCCCCAAGATCACTCAGTTAATAAGAGGTAGAACTGGGGAGTCAAGTGTGATTTTTCTGAACTTAGAACCTCTATATAATCACTGCTTCCACCCCTAGGCCTGGTGTATTCACACTCTCTTTGCTTCCATATTTATAAGAGCATCAACTAGTGACCACGAGGACTAAATTTATATTCTATTAATTTTTGTATAAAAAGGTATTTTTTTCACACTTCTATTCTTCCTCACGACATTAGAAAAAGTCTTGTGTGCTGCTTCCACCTAGTGGCAACACTCCTAAATTACAAGAACAAGTTTTTGAAAGGTTGAAAGTAATCTTTTATGTGACTCTCTTCAAAACTCAAGCCAGAAAGTGAAGATAATTCTTAACATGTAGGTGGAGACACTCTGTGCCTATCCATTGGCCCTGTCTGTTTGATCCTGTCCCCGCTATCTTTCCCACTAGAACAAAATAGACAAAGCATCACCTTTCCAGCTGTTTCTAAGACTCCCTCACCTCACAACTGTGCCCCTAGCCTTACTGATGCTCTTTCCTTTAACACTCTGGAGTACTTTCTTTTCTTTTTTTTTTTTTTTTAACATATTACAACAGGTTTGCAGTTTATTTTGTTTCAAAAGAAACTTGAAATTCATATATAGTTTTTTGCATATGCTTTTCCGTGAACTTTTTGAAGAATCCTTATATGTATATTTAAACGCCAGAGAACAACTTCTTTCCATTTAAATTGATAAGGCTATATAAGAGCTGCTTAATCTGTTTGCTAATTCATGTCAGTTCTCATAGTTCGAGAAATTTATCTATCCTTTAAGGAATGGGTCAAGTAACTGTAAAAGTAAAGGATATATGAAGATTTTTAAAGAATATTTTTATTCCATTTACCATTTCTAAAATATTATTAATCATGAAGATCAACCTCCTGGGCCAGAGACCATGGTAGTAAAGGCAGTGGATCTCACATGACTGACTTCACAATTCAAATTCTGGACCCAGTGGCCTGAAAAATGCACCAGGGGGAACCAGCAGTTAGCGTAATGGCTATGTCGCTGGATTCCCACATAGTCGACCGCGGTTCGTGTCCCAGACCCGATGGCTTAAAACTCACGCCGAGCGCGTGTGCGTGCGTGCCCAAGATCCCGAGAGGAGAATGGAGGAGAAGGGATTGCGGCGTGACCATCCCCCCTGGGGGGTGATTTCTCGCTTTCTGTCTCTATGTCTCTGTCTGTCTGGCAAGCACATGTGCCCTACAGTGAAAATCTCTCCAAAAAAAAAAAAAATGCACCAGGTACATATATGTGAATGCCCAAAATCCAAAGAGGAGAGTGGAAAAGAAGAGAATGCAGCATGATCACTCCCCCAGGAGATGATTTCTCAATTTCTTTTTTTCTGTTTTTCTTTCTTTTTTTTATTTTTTAGTATACTTTTTAATTTCAAGAAAAGCAGGTTTAGCTTTAATAAATCAAAGAAATGCTAAGGAACTTTGCTTTAAAACCAGGAAACAGGTTCAAATAGTAGGTACATGAATCTATCATCAGATCAAGACAGGACAAAAGTCCTTAAAACCAGAAAACAAAACCTGGAAGAAAATCAGCGATGTTTTAGTTAAAAGTCATAAAATGCTATTTCACCAGTTCAGTCTCATGTACTTTATCTTCTGTTGTGTTTCGATCTTCCTGATTAAATTCTGGAATATAACATTCAACTCCAGACTTGTCCCTATGAGTAAATTGGCCATTTTCTTAGTTTTTGAACTCTTATTTCTGTGTGACTGTATTTCATTTTCCTGGTATAGCACTCCCTTCAGCACTTCTTGGAGATCTGGTCTGGTGTTTGTAAATTCTTTCAGGTTTTGTTTATCTGAAAATGTTCTTGTCTTTTCTTCCCATTTGAGGGAAAATCTTGCTGGGTACAGTATTCTGAGTTGAAATTGATTTTCCCTTGACACTGAATATATTTTCCCATTCTTTCCTCACTCGCATTGTTTCCAATGAGAGGTCCACTGTTAGCCTGATGGGACATTCTTTGTAGGTAACTTGCTGTTTCTCTTTTGTCGATCTTAGTATCTTGTCTTTGTGGTTGGAGTCAATCTGGCTATAATATGTCTTGAACAAGATCTTCTTGGGTTGATTCTTTTTGGGGTCCTTTGTATTTCTTGGGACTGGATCTTTGAGTGCCTCTCTAGGTTTGGAAAGTTTTCTTACAGAATTTCATGGAATAGATTACCAATGCCCTTATGAGTCTCTTTGCCTTCTGGGATACCAATTATATGCATGTTTGGACATTTGATAGTATCTAGTATTTCTTGTATATTATTCTCATTTTTTTTTTACAATTTTCTGTCTTTGTGGTAGATTTTTCTAGGCCAGCAATTCTATCTTCTGCGTCTGTGATTTGATTTTCTGAATGATCTAGTCTGCTTTTAATCCTTCCAAGGGAGATTTTTTTTTTTTTTTGGAAGAGATTTTCACTGTAGGGCGCGTGCGCTCGCCAGACAGACAGAGAGAGATATATAGAGACAGAAAGCGAGAAATCACCCCCCAGGGGGGATGGTCACGCCGCAATCCCTTCTCCTCCATTCTCCTCTCGGGATCTTGGGCACGCACGCACACGCGCTCGGCGTGAGTTTTAACAAGAGAGATTTTGACTTCCTGTATTATAGTTTTCATCTCTAACAGTTCCATTTGATTCTTTTGTAAAGTGTCTAATTTCTCTTTTAGATCTTGCAAGAAT